GTCATTTACACATGTTTTTACCCTCATACTTACACCGTTTGAGGTGTTGATTCTCGTGTTTTAGGCCGATTTCACGCTAGGTTGTGCTTGTTTGTGATATTTCAGGTCCTAGTACGTGAATGAAGGCTTAGGAGCGAGTCTGGGGTTGATTGGACGACGAACGGACGAATGGCGAGCCTTTTGGAGAGCTGCACGGGCAGACCAGGGAGGCTGCACGGCCGTGCAATATGCAACTCTGGCCGTGCGCCTTATGCCGAGGAGCTGCACGGGCACCCCTGAAGATCTGCACGGCGGTGCGCCTGGCCGTGCAAGGTGGATGAAGGCCGAATAATTGATACGGTGCGTTTTGAAGGTGCACGGCCAGAATGGTGTTGTGCACGGCCGTGCACCTGGCCGTGCAACTCGGAAAAGTCGGTTTTAAAGCCTAATTCGAGCCAAAAGTGAAGAAATCGTGTTTTGAGAGCAAAAACAGAGCCCTAGAGAGAGAAAGTGCGAAGAACTCATCCTAGAAGCCGTCTAAGAGCTGGATTTCATCGAATCGAGCTTGGAGATCGTCATAGGAGTGAAAATCATTGTCCCGGAGCAGATTATCCTCATCGTTATGAGTATGACTAATCCGATTCTTGTTTTCTCTTCTCTCTCTATGGAGTAGAACCCTTCTCTGACTTGGGTATGAAGAACCCTAGTTCCTTGTGTTAGGGATTTGATTGTAATGACTTGGGATGATATTACTGCTTGATTTTAATCGAATGATGCATGTTTCATGAATTGATTTGAGTCTGATCAGCTTGTCTCAATTTCTGCTTCAACCTGAGATAGATAGAATCTGATTAGGTTGTTAGAGCCTCTTCATTCGATAGTAGGAGATTGGCTATACGAGAGTTAGCCAGTTTACTGCTTTGTACTGGTGTTCTTGACGCCAGTAGTGGAGTTCTGTGTTCATAGCCTCAGCTTTCTATCCCGGTGAAGACTAGTCGTCTGCCGGGTAGTTAGACTGAGAGGCTTGGTCAGCTTAAGAGATTCCAAGCTACTGTCGGATCTTCCGCAGTCTAATCAACAGTAAATCAACCCAGGGAATTGCAATTGAACCTAACCAAGGGGCTAGGGGGACTCAATCCCGAGTGACTCTTACCTGCTTTTGAAAACCGAACAATTTACTGCTTTCTTGTTGCTTTTACTTTTTACAACAATCACTCGACTTAGTTTGCTAGATAATAGAGAATCACGGAGTAAGCAGTAGATCTAGACCCCGGGTTGATAATTAAACTTGCCTATACTGCAGTCCCTTTCATTGGTTACACTTGGCCATTGTTAGGTGTTGTGTTTTAGCGTGTCACCTTCCTATCTGATAGAAAAGGATCCCATGATCTTGAACCGTTCTTACCTGGGATCGCAAATTCCAAGTTTGTCTATGAAGAGCAGATCGAATTATATTAGTGTCTAGCATTGATTTCTTCTATGTAATACTAATCGATAGGGCCTCAATGGTAAGTGCTACAAGATCTCCTACATTGGAACCCATGATTATGGACCCGAATCCCTTAGTATGGAGCATTTTCTTTTCCAAGTGAAATACCCTAGTATATGAAAGAGTGAAAAAGTACTTTCGTTGTTGTGGAATAAGAAGCCTTCGTATCTTAATGCATGTATTTAATTTATTCAGAGCTATTAGAGCGTGATCCACTTTTTGGGGAATTTGAGTCGAAGCAATAACAAGAATATTTCTAGTGGAACATCTTTCACAATCCCTAGAGAGATAGTTCACTAATAGACCTAGGGATAAGTAATTCGACTAATTCATATCCAGATCATGAATGTTTGGAATCCATATTATGCAAGTAGACATTGCTTTTGCTAATTCGAATTGAAGGGTGATATAAAATCGGTCAATTTCCGGTATCATATCCATAGTTAGCCATTCTTCCTAGTTAGAAGCTCCAGCTCCGTATCAAGGTCGATATCGTCACTAGCATCAATATCATCACTATCATCAATATTGTCACTATCATCAATATCGTCACTATTATCAATAAGAAAATCCTTAGGCTTGTTATCCACGAACTTGTTCAGAAATACTATAATGAATGGAACATAGGAGTTTGTCGCTAGGTATTTACCAAATAGGATCGTCCAGCTCCTATAGAACCTATCAATAAAATACCACTAGAGGGGGATAGGGCTAAGCGGATCGAAAAGGGTTTTCCATGAGATGGGAATTGAATACTATTCGCCCCACACGAATAAGTGAATAAGTGATGGTCTGATAATGAGCAAGGAATACCCGTATTTCCGCTAAACAAGGTGTATTGACTCATAATTCATTATATACTTTGTATGAGTGTTAAGTATGTATCGTATGTAATTGCTCCTGGCTCTTAAATCATTTGATAACCAGAGTCATTCTTTGATATATGATCACTATGAGTCAGACTCAATAGAATTTGATCAATCCTTTTTCTGTCGTTAAGGTGGAGAACTGAACCTAGAATTCTCTTTCTTTATCATAAATCGAATCATTGTTCGCGACCAAGGATTCTATTTTATCATCAATCCAATCACCGTTCACGTTTTTTCTTTTTCTTATTAATGAATAAATCTCTTTACTTGTATGACTTAGATGTCTTGTATTTCTCAAAAAAGTGATTCGATTGATGGGATTTGGTATGATACTTATGAGATCGATGAGATTGATATTCCAAAATTGCTTCTTAGAACGTATTGATTTGACCCCATAAGCGGGACCACCACCCCATAGCATGTTGCCGCCAGAAACCCGTATTTCTTCTAGAAAATCTCCTAATTGTTCCAGAGCAACTAGAAAGAGATTCTTTAACCAGAAAGAATTCAATTCAGATGTAGGATACCTATCCAGAAGTTTTCGTAACTCAATCATGTATGGTGGAATTATCAAGGATTTGACCTTTTCGAACTCTGTCTGTAACTCACTATAGGCTCGGGAAACAAAGAGAAGATGTGTACGAACGAGATATCCAGCAACAAGAAGAAGGAAAAGGGTTGAATAGACGAACTCCCGAACATTTGGCGATCTCAGATGTGTCGATATCAATGGTGGCTCATTATTTCGATGAATCATTTCTTCGGACAGAAGAAGATTATGTAAACACTTACTCGAAATCTCACTTATCAGATTCCATTGTGGAAGACGCAATTTTTTCTGAAGAATTCGCCATGATATATCTGATCCATGCATAATATCATGAAAAATGGATACAAATTTTTGACTGCTACTTAGTATCGGTAATAGGTCTGAAAAGGTATCTAAAAATATCAAATTTAGATATTTGTACCCTGTCGAAGTAAGGAACCATGGCATATATGTTTGGAATAGATTCCATTTTGAGAGAGTTGAAAAAACACTATCTCGTTGAAAGATTCTATACATCTGCCCTTTTTCAACGCATTTCTTTAGACAAAGATTCCGTTTTTTCCTCTTTTCGGATGGTAAATATTTCTCAAAACATGGAGTGTGAATCAAACCCATGTTTGAATTGAAATTGAGATACTGATGCAAGTTCTCCCCTTCTGAATCAGATAGATTCATATCCGAAAGAGGTTGACAATAAGTTCTTTCAAAATTGACTATTTGTCCCTCTGTTAGAGGTGTTCCAGAAATGTCTGCGATCGAATAAATAGCTCTACGAACGAACGGGTCGGATCGAATTGGAAAATGGAAAGATTTGTACAAGTTAGACCTTTCGTCACCACTTTGTGGAAAATCATTAGGTATGAATATGTTAAATACCTGTGACTCGATTGGTGAAATAGTATCTCTCTCCAAAAAGGCATGTTTTTTTTTACCGCCGCACAAAGAAAAGATTTTGTTGCGAATGAACAAGATATTGAGGAATTGTCCATATGTAAAATCATAATTCTTGATACGGGCCTTTTCCACATAAAAAGGGAATCTTTTGTTACAATAGAAACAGAAGTGATGTAGATTATTCAAGAATCGAAGTCGATTTGCTTTATAAAAAGAAGATATCAATGAACTCGAGCTATCTATAGGTATAGCTACATAGACGCAGAGGTGCGCGCTTTAGGGCAGGGCAACATATATATTTGTCAGCTCACAAAGTGCGAAGGGTAATTGATCAGATTCGCGGGCGTTCCTAGGAGGAAATACTTATGATATTCGAGTTCATGCCTTATCGAGCATGTTTTCCCATTTTGAAAGTACTTTATTCTGCCCCAACAAATGGTAATCATAATAAGGATTTTAAGAAAGACGATTTAGTTATTACTAAAGCCGAAGTCAATGAGGGTAGTACTGTAAATAAAAACTAAAAGCTCGGGCTCGAGGACGGAGTTATGCGATTAAAAGGCCAAATTGTCATATACGTATTGAATTGACAGACAAATCTTTCTATGAAAAATATAACAGGGACGAGTTAGAAAGCTATTATAATCTTATTGTAATGAAGAAAAAAAAAATAAAATTTATGCTTAATAAAGTGGGTGGGTAAAAAAAACATTTCATGATTCATATATATAGTGAGGGATTATGGGAAAAAAATAAATCCACTTGGATTTAGACTTGGTACAACTCAAGGTCATCATTCTCTTTGGTTTGCACAACAAAAAATTATTCTGAAGGTCTACAAGAAGATTAAAAAATAAGAAATTGTATCAAGAATTATGTACAAAAAAATATGAAATTTTTTTCTGGTGTTGAAGGAATTTCACGTATAGAGATTCAAAAACGAATCGACGTGATTCAGGTCATAATATATATGGGATTTCGAAAATTATTAATAGAGGGTAAACCAAAAAAAACTCAAAGAATTACAAAGGAATATCCAAAAAGAACTGAATTGTGTGAACCAAAAGATATACATTATTATTACAAGAATCGGAAATCCTTAGAGGCACATTAATATTCTTGCAGAATTTATAGCCTCGCAAAGCAAGGAAAAAAGCTATTGAATTAACAGAACAGACAGATACACAAGGAATTCAAATACAAATTGGGGGGCGTCTTGATGGAAAAGAGATTGCACGCGTTGAATGGATTAGAGAGGGTAGGGTCCCTTTACAAACCATTCGACCTAAAATTGATTATTGTTCCTATATAGTTAGAACTATTTATGGGGTATTAGGTATAAAAATTTGGATATTTATCGACTGGGACTAGTAAACTCTTAGTTAATTTGTCTTTGCATTCTATACCTATATATTGATAGAAAAAAATGATAAAATGTTTCATTGAATCATAGCAAAAAAGGAGCAATTTTATAAGGTTGAATAAAAAAATTGATTTCTAAGTTGATCTAATTATAATTGATATGCATAGCGTGTGACTCGTTAGTTTTTTTATGAAAAAAAAAGAGTTGATCCTTATTATGTTATGATATTTATTATATGAACTAATAACTAGAAAACTAATAAGCAATTCATCACTTTACATTATCCGGATGGAAAGAAACAGCCAAGATATGATAGATTTTGATTTATGATATAAAAGTAGTAATGAAAAGTTTTTTTTGCATAAAAAAAAACACATTCAATTTTGAATTGTAAAGCAAAAATCAAAAATTAAGCGGATAAATGGAAGGGTGAGAGGAAAAGAGAAAACGAATAGCAATGATATATGATTCCAATATGTAAGGTTTATGAGTCGTCTCATAAAATTTAAAAGCCAATTTAATAAAGCATCAATATCGATTGATCTATAATTAAATTAATCCGTTTCTAGAATAAAAAAATCAAGAGCCTCGATCCAATAAAAAATTAGAAAATTGAGTCAAAAACAAATTCTATTAAATTTTTTCATTTTTTAGAGTCTCCATTGTAGATTAAGACCTAACCATTAATAGAGAAGTGATGGGAACGACGGAACGTGGGAATACATAAGATTCTAAATCTTAATGATTTTTTAGGCAGGATGGCGAAAGAACCAAGAGAAAATTCATTTATTTGGTGGCGTCAGGGATTAACTCTACAAATGAAGTCAATATTGAACGAGTGAATATTCACCCGCGAAGATTTTTTTATTTTGACATTATTGAATTTTGGAATTTTAAGCAATCTGATATCATATTATTAATAATAATACTAATATTCGTTAGAACATTCCAACAAAAATGGCATTATCTAAAACTACCTTAAAATAAAAAAATTCTCTACAAAATAAATCTATAATATAAATTGAATAGATGGTTATATAGAAATAGAAAAAAAATACACAATACAAGTTTATACTAAATACACAATTTTTTCATTTTTTTATAACAGAAATAATTCTGTATATTATATTATTTACCAATCTCATATCTATTTTTTAAGCATTTCATTCGCGAGGAGCTTGATGAGAGGAAACTCTCATGTCCAGTTTTGGACTAGAGATGGAATTAAAAAACACCCATCAACTAGAACCCTAAAAGAACCAGATTCCGTAAACACCATAGAGGAAGAATGAAAGGAATGTCTTATCAAGACAATCGTATTTGTTTCGGTAGATATGCTCTCCAAGCACTTGAACCCACTTGGATTACATCTAGACAAATAGAAGCAGGCCGACGTGCAATGACAAGAAACGCACGGCGTGGTGGGAAAATATGGCTACGTATATTTCCCGACAAACCCGTTACCCTAAGACCTACAGAAACACGTATGGGTTCAGGGAATGGATCTGCCGAATATTGGGTAGCTGTCGTTAAACGGACAGAATACTTTTTGAAATGGGTGGAGTAGGAGAAAATATAGCCCGAAAAGCTATTTCAATCGCAGCGTCCAAAATGCCGATACGAACTCAATTTATTTTTTCGGGATAGAAAAGGAAACCCAAAGGAAAGAAAGGCCTTTGGAATGAAAAAATCGTAAGTTTATTTTTTTGTTTTGAACAACCAATATTTCTTTTTTTTTCGTTTGCACTGAAATAACAGATTAAAAAATGATATGATTCAACCGCAAACCCGTTTGAATGTAGCAGATAATAGTGGAGCCCGAGAATTGATGTGCATACGAATCATAGGGACTAGTAATCGACGATATGCTCATATTGGTGACGTTATCGTTGCTGTTATCAAAGAAGCAATACCAAATTCACCTTTAGAAAAATCCAAAGGGAACTCGAATTTTTGGTGCGATCGCACGAGAGTTGAGACAGTTAAATTTTACTAAAATAGTTTCATTAGCGCCCGAAGTATTATAAGAACGAGTATTCTAAGCTGAAATAAAACAATTAAGATGAGACCATCATATAGTTATAGTATTTGTAAAAAAATATGATTTAAGTGCATTAAAAAAATATGTTGATTATATCAAATTGAGGCGTAACTAAATTTTAGTTTATCATGGGTAGGGACACTATTGCTGACATAATAACCTCTATACGAAACGTTGACATGAATAGAAAAGGACCCGTTCGAATAGCATCTACGAAGATCACCAAAAATATTATTAAATTTTTTTTTCCACAGGGTTTTAACTCTACGACATAAAAGGAATAGGAAAGTCTCATATCTAGCTAATGTAAATTTAAAACGGATTAGCCGGCCCGGTCTATGAATCTATTCGGATTATAAAAAAATTGGTTAAATAAAACGTTTGGTCACTCAAATTATACAAATCTTTCACGTTTGCCACCCAAATTACTTTTATTCTTATTTGCGACTAACTTTACGAATCGTTTCACCGTTAGTCACTGACCGTTACACTCTGTTAACTTTGTCCTACGTGGCAGTCAACTACAAAGTTTGACCGTTAACTAGATGACGTGGAAATTAAAATAATTAATTTATTTTCCACCTCATCGTTTCAGATTTATCATACTAATTATTTAATTAAAATTAATTAAAAAATAATATAATAAAAAATTATTTTTTATTTATTTATCATGACCCTCACCGCCATTATTACACTCCCGCTACTCCTCTTCCTTCTAAACCTCCTCTCCCCAGCCGCCAGCCACGATGACAACTCCACCATGTGCTGTTAGAAACCGAACAGAAAAAATTAGGGTTACCGATCTGGAGCTGAGTCGCGGACTAGGTCGCTCTCTTTAAGAAGTTCGCGGCACTGCCCTCGTTGCGCACGACAGACTATTAGTCGGTCGCCTCCAGGATAAAACAGCTCGTCTAGGTGCTCGGCGGTTTTGTGCGAAAACCGGAGCTCTCTGAATACACTCTCTCTCGTGTTTCTGCTCTCTGATTGTCTATTTAGAGGGTCTAGGGATTGCTCTATTTATAGGAGCAAAAACCCTAGAATATTCCCTATTTCGTGGGAATAAGTCACACTTAATTAGGAAGATAATGACTCCCATTAAAATGTGTTCTATTAAGATAATTAACTCTAATTATTTTTCTAATATATGGAAATATAGGGGATAATTAATTAGGAATTTCATTTATAGCTTTTCAAAGCTATTCATCCCAACAATCCCCCACTTGAATAGTTTTGAAACTATCTCTGAGCATCAACAGTTCTATAAGATTGGGCATAAGCTAAGGTATCACGAAGATTTGAACCTTAGCATAGTGTTTACACTTCCGATTTCATAAGGGTGACTCGTAGTCTTGAACCCTATCTCAGACAGTGTAGCACACCGGATCTTTTCATTGAGTGGTATTCTCTAATAACCCGTGCTTTAATGGCCCTGCACGTTATCCCGGTTTAGTGAATGCTATAGCAACTTTGTGCCTCCAAAGTTCCATAGGGAGCGGCCTCACTCCCACATTCACATAGGTGAGTCTATCAGAAGTACCCCCAAAGTAAAATACTTCACTCCACATAGTGTATAGATCTCATTAAGAGTTTAACTCAACCTCCAAGGCTTTGGGATTCATGTTTCACTATGCATGAACTTTTCTCAATATTACTCATGACTTGTTATTACCCATTGAACCCGTTTCTTGGGATCTCCAGTCTATCGGGTCGGGTTACCATCACTTGTATTCCATGGTTCGGTAGGCATAAGTCTCATACCCTTCGTGGTATTTTGGACTTTTCTCTCTAGGTAATCCTTTCATCAAAGGATCAGCTAGATTCTGTTGGGATCTTGCATGATCCACCCTCATTGCTCCTATCATTAGGAGTTCTCTTACAGTACTGTGCTTACGACGAATTTGTCGTCTCTTTTCGTTCTAGAACCGGTTCTCTTCTTTAGTAATAGCTGCGGTGCTATCACAATGAATCAACTACCGGAGGGATCGGTCTTTCCCATAAGGGAATCTCTAGTAATGACCCTCTCAATCAACTTTTCTCTTTACTAGCCATTGCTAGCTCTATCATTTCTGATTTCTTAGTTGATTGAGCCAGGATCATTTACTTCTTAGAATTCAAAGACACAACACTTCCAGTGATGTTTAAAACATGTCCACTAGATGCCTTGGAATCTTCTATACGGTATTCTCGTCCGCATCAATATACCCTACCAATACAGTACGAAACCGTTGATAACTTATATCAAGGTCTATTGTTCTCTTATGGTGTCTCATGAACCTTTTACTAGGACAATCAATAAGTCTGCCAAGTACCCCCCCCCCCCACCACCACTAATTCTTACTTTCTTACACCGTCTTTGGTGCTCTTTAAAAATTGTACTAGCATCTTCAAACATTTAGGCAAGTGTACAACTTGTATTTCTTATAGATCTTAACCAAAAAGTTAGGTTGATCTATAAAAAATCTCTTTCACCGTCCTATTCATTTGGATCTCTAAGCGAAACACTTGGATCCTTCTCATCAAGGTTCTCACTCAACATGGTTTATCACATTTATTCGTGTCATGAGTCTTTGCATCAAAGATCAACATGTCTTTTATAGTGTAAGTGTCATTCTCAAGTTTGTAACAAATGCACTTGTCATTTCATTCAAAACCATGAGAGAGAACCATCCATCCATGCCATGATCTTTAAATTCTGTTTCAAATCATACCATGATTTGTCTCACCATAGACTATAAAAGCATGTTCAGGAATAACAATTTTTTAGGTTGTCCCAATGTAGATTTCTTTATCTAAATCACCATTCACAAAATTCAATTTTAACATCCATCTAATGCATCACTAGAAATCAGACCATACATGGATGTTATTCTAGATTTGGTGAACAGATATCAAAGAAATCTACAATTTTTCCTTTTCACCTAAAGCCTTAGCTACTAGGCGATCATTATACTCATTAACTAAACCATCAGGTTTCCGTTTTCCTTTTAGGAATCCATTTATTACCTTGACTTCATTGCCAGGAGGTAATTCTCAAAGATGCCAAATCTTGTTCGGTTCCACCGATATATTACCCAAAGCTTTATAACCGAGAGGCAACTCTACAAGATTGTCAGTCTTACAAACTCCACAAATTCCATTTCGTTAATAATGGATTCTCCCACGAATCTACATATTTATGGAAGCTCAAACTTCAAATAGACTTGTGGGATCTTTCTTAGGGTGTAATAACAAATTCATAACCAAAAACCTTTAGTGATTTATGGTTGATTTGTCTCTTGTGAATTCATACTCAAATTCATCACCCCTACTAGATCCATTATTTCTAATAGCAGACAAGATATCACCCCCACTATTTCACGATTTAAATGGAATGGCATCAATGGATTTCACATAACAATGAGTATTTCATTACATAAGCTTATATGTTCTACTACTGATAGCACAACTAATAAAACACTCTCATGCTCATCTTATATTGCACTAATTATCGAACTATACCCTATGAAAAAAATATTTCATAAATAACGTTTTACGTCAAAAGCATATGTCAAAAGCATCACATCTTTAATTAGTGCAATCAATAATAATGTGATAAAACATTTCACATTATTCCAAATTTTAATCTCATTACATTCTCCCATTTCAAAATGAATCAAATCCAAAGATTCTGATTCTCTAATCACATATTAAAGAGTCATTTTATTTCATATGCATACTCTCATTACCATGACCAATAGTGGAGTGAGCAATACTCAACAACGCTATCTTAATAGTATATGTCTTAGTATGCTTCGAGATACCAGTATTCAGCCACCATTCTTTAGATTTACCAGCATGGTTAATATCTGCTCTTTTGTCAATCATTATAGTCACCAATCCTTCTCTTCAATCAAGTTAACACTAGAACCAGTGTTATAATCGTTCCTACTCTTTCGTGTTATATGACCTAATTTCTCGCAACTATTGCAGAGAAATAAAGCGTCATTCTTAGAGGATTGGCCGATGATCCTTTAGTTACCACGAATTGTACCATTTTAATTGGTGTGGATCTGGTTCGGTTTGCTATGCTGATTCTTGAACCTTATTAGGGTTTAAAAACGTAAAATGGTTCTCATAGTACTGACAAGCAGTACTTCTAATAAATATGGGCATATAACCCATTCCACTAGCATATTTACTACATAATATACGTTTATATATGCTTCAGAGTATGCATTCATATCATCAAAACTACTCTATTTTACAGCATGTACATAAAATGGTACTCTAGTCATCAAGAAGCCACATCTTAATATCAATATGATCATGCATCAATTATTGTTTCTCTAGCATTCATAAAAATTTTCAATTTCATGCACCAAGTTATATGACATAGATTCTAATTTTATCATTTATAAATGATTCATAAAAAATGTTTCACTTCTGACATCTTTTCGAGAGGTCATCGCCTTCTGATAATAGCTAGCTCGTGGTTTAGCTTCCAATTTGACAATCCTTGCCCGAGCACCGCTTCCCTCTATCTGGTTCTCCCGCCTATCCAGTTCTTACCTCCTTTGTGGAGTGCCAATGATGCTCTAGCCTTGCGCCTGCAATTTTCAACACAGTTGCTTTTGCTCTTGAGACTTGGACAAGGGAAATTAACTTGGCCGAGGCCTTCTTCCATTTACTTGGCCCAAAATGGCCTTCTTCCATTTACTGGACTTGGCCCAAATCAAGTAGTCAGCTTGCAATTAATTGATTTGGCTCAAATAAAGCCAAGCCCGGGGTCGCCTGGTTGCCTCCCTCTGCCGACTTCTCCTCTTTGAATCTCCCTCTTTCTTTTCCAATCGATTTTGGCTTGCTCTTTATTCCCTGTGTACTCTTGCCATGGCCGGCAGCAGAGCCAGAGGAGCAACTGTCGACATCAGGAGCTCCGTATACAATTACTTCGCCTACTTCCTTTATTGGACCGAGATCCCTCAGCTGCCATAAGCCCATGCAGTGGCCATGCAGCCCGTTATCACGTGGCCCACTTAAGAGGGCAACCCTCCATATGTGACCCTAGATGACAATGTAACTCGGGATATAAATATGGCTTGTTCCATCAAGCCGAACTAAGCAATAAAATCACGATCTTTTCCCGTGGATGTAAGCCTCACACAACGTGAGGAAGAACCACATAAATCAAAGTCTTCTCTTACGTTTCTGTAATCTTTTCATGGTATCAGAGCAGTAAGCTCCAAACCTCTTTCACTGAGAATCAGTCATGAGCGACGACGAAGGTCATTCCGTCGTG